CCCGCCAGATCCAGGGGTATGTTGGCTGCACTCCCTCAGTTCATGTCGACCGCGGGCGTATGTGTTGGGTACTTTGCCGCCTACGGGACTGTCAATATCGATTCGAGCTTGTCCTGGCGGCTGCCCTATGTAATTCAAGGTGTTTGCGCCGTCTTGTTCGGTGCCGGCAGCCTCGTCCTTCCCGAATCACCGAGGTGGTTACTCCTTCACGGCCGTCGAGCTGACGCTATGCGCGCCCTCGAACGACTCGACTTTTCCAGAGCCGAAGCTGAACGGGACTTTCTCTCTACTTCGCAATCAGAGCAAAAGCCTAGTCTTTCTCCATGGCAGAGCTTTATCCTGCTGTTCAAGAAAGGATACCGTACTAGAACAACCCTGGCCATCTTCATTCTCGGCATGATTCAGCTCTCTGGCATCGACGGCGTGGTCTACGTGAGTCTGCTCAACGATTGCTTCTATGCTCCACTGACGCAAACAAGTACGCACCGCTTCTATTCGCGCGAGCTGGCCTCCCAGGAGAAACCGCCGCCTTCTTAGCCTCAGGTCTATCAGCGATTCTGATGCTAGCCATCTCTGTTCCAGCGTTCTTGCTCGCCGATAAATGGGGTCGGCGGACCTCAGCCATCTCAGGAGGCGTCGGCCTTACATGCTGCATGCTGTTAATGGGCATACTGTACGCTGCTGGGGTCGTCCATCCATACGGGGCCGCCCGATGGGTCGTCATCATATGTGTGTTTGCTTTCGGCCTCACGTACTCCGCGACATGGAACATTGTCGGCAAAGTCTACGCCAGCGAGATCCAGCCAGGGAACACCCGCGCAGCAGCGAATTGTGTGGGAACGGGGGTCAACTTTGTAAGTGCCGCATGCTCTAAAGATTCTCCGTTAGTTGCTGCTCACACAGTCACGTAGCTCTGCAACTGGATCGTCGCCATGATCACCCCGATTCTCCTCGACAAGTCCGCCTTTGGGGCTTATTTCCTCTTCGCCGGTCTGGCCTTTGGTACAACGGCAGTCCTTGTAGCTTACATGCCTGAGACGCGCGGCCGGTCACTGGAAAGCATCCAAGAAGCCTTCCATCGACCCCCGTTCAAGGGCCTGGATCACTACTTGGGACGTATGAAGCCCCGCCACCGGAGGGCCATCCGGGAGGAAGACCCCACCGGCTCCGGTGTGGAGCTCGGTCCGTCCGACCGGTCGGCCGCTAGTAGCGTTGTCGATGCCGCTTCAAGCGGACTACGGCTTGACGTTTCAACGTAGGTATGTTGAATCCCGTCAAGTTCCTTTGGTCTAGAAGGTGAGTCCTTTGTCTCTGGTAGACAATTGTCTACATACTCTACCCTTTCGTGTTATCTACCGAAGACATCGGGCTGACAAGTTTCAAGACTAGGTTGATCGGATATGAGGAGGTAAAGCATATCTTTGCTGTCTTAGGAACGACACATGCATGATACTCGGGACACGGAACTCGACTGTTCGAGACCCAGTTCTGGAATTTTGATGTTATTTGACCGTCAAATTCACGGCTGATATGGGAAATTTGAATAGAATAGAAATATCCTGGATTGAAATGCCATTGTCTAGTCTTGCTATGTGATTTTGCCAATCGATTCATTGGCCTACTGAATGTTGTCTGACAATTCTTGCTCGTACGCCTGCGCTCCTCGTATCATTGATTATTGATTCGCATCATTGTTCGAACCCTTCAATGACATACAATTACGGGCAATTGCTAGAATGAACCGGTCACGAGTTTACAGACAGGCTCAGTAACAAGGCCGAAGTAACCGCCAGCGATGCCACTAAGAGCTCCCGCCACAGCTGCTGCAGCATCTTTAAACTTTTGGCATGCAGCTAACGATCAGTTAGTTAAGTGATTTGATATTAAACAGAAAAAGAAAAATAAGGTTAGAAGAAAGCCAAGGAGATTGCTGAGAGTGTTGAATGCGGAGAAGGAATTAGAAGATAGAAGTAGGCTTACCATCTTCACCGTCACCTAGGCTAACCGTGATTTTCATTTCGCTCATGAGTACACCGCCTTTGTATCTTTGGACAGCAATAAAATTGGGAAATTGAGTCATCTTGCATTTGCCGTTCAATGGTTGGATGCTGCCAGGAGTCAGGAAAATATATTTCCTGTCCACGAAGTCGATTGTAGCTGGTGATTCCGTCCTAGCAGTCTTCATGATGGCCTCGATCAAATAATCTCGCTCAAAGTCCTCTGCCCATTGTCCTTCGGCCTTTATTTTGATATCGGTGAGTTCTGGACCGGTGGAGCCTCCCGTCCACCTGACCTTACGGGACCATGTCGTGCCTTCGTCACAAGCACCAGCGCCCTTGGAGCAGAGCTCCTCGAGGCCCTTGAAAGTGTAGTGAACCGATGCGTCACAGCCGTAGTCAATCTTGGTTTTCCCGTAAGTGATCCTGGTTTCGTTATCCTCGCGTTTGGCGAAGAGGCTTTGGGGCTCAACTCGTGGTTTCAAGCTGCCTAGACCCCAACGGCTGTCGACAATGGCATGGCCGCTGTCAACCAATGGAGACGGTTGAGCGGTAGGTGCTGACAACAGAAGAGCAAAAATGATGTTTTTGAGGCAATGCATAGTGGTAAAGTAAGAAGTTGTTCTTTTCCGAGGCCAGCAATTCGTCTCTGTTAAAAATGGTTCGTCGGATTGAGGTAGCAAAGAAGAGGTGTAGTAGAGAAGCTTGCAAAGCACGTCAAGAACACAGAAGCTGAGCCGGCTCTTATACCTCGAGTAGCTGTGATTCTTATCAATGAATGGTGCAGAGCCGGCAAGTGTCCATCCTCATCCGTGTCGCACATCTCCCAGTCAGCCTCGCCTGTCTTCTGTGATACTTTCAAGGGTTATTAAGATGTAGACGTCATTTGTATCACTTTCTTCTCTGTCCTAGGCAGTAAAATTACAAAAGCCTTGATTTTGACGAAAGGTTCAGGGAACATTTTGATCATCCGCGGACGGCTGGGTTGTGCAAACACTGCCTCTGCAGCAGGACATAATGGTTGCCTGCGAGGCGTCAGAGTCAAACGACGGAAGCCAAGGAAAGATCTCCCCTACGATGTGTCTTGAACTCCCTCCGCTTTAAATCAAACCAAGAATAAACCATCAGTCTGATCCAAACCGGACACTAGATCTGTTCATGTCATCAGCCGCGCCGTCAGAGTCGTTCATTCTCTCCGGACCCAACGTAAGAGATCAGGAGCATTTTTGGCGAGAGGAACTTCCGTCAATAATTACGTCAAATTGGCGAGAAAGCATACTCGTGCTTGATAAGCGGGCTCGCTATTTAATGAGCTGATCACTGCAACGAGTTCTGCCCAAAGGGGTAATAACATGTACAACTTTCCGTCAAAAAAGCCGGCGTTTTACAGACGTCACTTCTCTCCGCTTCGCCTGGAATTGTCTTAAGCGCAGACCTTGCCAAGTCGGGTTTGAAGCTGCGTGGGAAAACTGTTCTTATTGGCGCTGCGTCAATCATCCACAATCTTTATCTTCTTTTTGCTCTGACAAAATACCAGAGTGCTGTCATTGTAGTAACAGAAAGTGTCGGATAGCTGCTGCTTCTGCCCTTATGGAAGTAGACTTTTACGCAATCTGCGATGGGATGCAAGAATATTCGCGGCTGGAGACCATAAAATACCTTGAAACATACATAGACAGTAATTGTTGTTACCAGACATGAAATTTGACTTAAACATACGAAGATGCAATCAAGAAAGGCTTCAATTTTCTGAGCAAGATAATTCTTTACCTAAGTAGTAGTCGCTGTTATGGGTTTATTTAGTAAAAAACGTAAAACATGACCAGGTACCGCCCTCTCAACGAGATAAGCCATGTGCTGCAAGTCAAATCAAGACTTCTGAGGCTATCTCTGGTGCTACTCTGGTGCTATACAGAAATACTTAGAAGGGAGGCAATATGCCTGTCGGTCCATTTGGGTGTTCCAAGACCATTCAAGTTCTCATGCAGATACTGATATTTCACTGCAATGCTTCCAACGGCATAGGACTCGGCCTGTTGAAAGCAAGGTATGCGCACCAAGGAGTTTCACAAATTAAAACATCAACTCCTTACCATTCGGGCTTTGTAGCAACCAATGCAGTGGTTTTCATTCACGCGCAGTCCCTCGTCCATATGGACAACCCTTGCAACCCGCAGTAATCCAAAACAACCGACGAGACCAAGCTCCCTCCGCCGACTCATAGTCCATGCACTCCATCTCACACTTTTTCAGAACCACAATTCCTCCAAAAAATGGCCAAGACACCAAGAAGCTTCAAGCATAATATGAAGTCCCTGAAAAGAAGCAGAAAACCCTTGTTCGATGGAAGGTCGTGTCTTTCGAAAACACCGCCAGCAAGGACCTCGAAACTCAGTAATCAGATAATTTCTCGTAGAATCAATGAGAGGACCTCAACTGGAAACTAAAAGGAAAACAAACATAATAATAGCATCGTCAGACATCGTCTACATCATGTTTGATACACCTGCTTCACAAAAGGTAACCAAGCAATCAACTATATGCATAATCGACAGAACCCGCCATACAGCACTTTTCCTTTCCATAGCTCATAGCGGGTTCACGTCCGATTGCATCCCAAGATTCACTGACGCTGCATAAGCTAAACACTCCCACTGCCGTTCCTTCATTCGGAACCACCCACCTCGCTCTTTCATACTGCTGAGCGAGCTGGAACATAGCAACTAGACTATAATGGTGTTGCGGTCCGTATTTCTCGATGGACGTAGGTGCGTATGTCAGGAGCTTACCTCTACATAATGAAAAGCCCTGTCAGGAGCTAAATCATCGTATTTGATGTTAGATACATGACCCATGACAGCTAAGTCATCTAGGAGTGAAGAGGATATGTAAGGCTTCTTCTATCAGCTGCGGCAAAGCTCGAGTCTCTCAAAATAACCATCTAGACAGTTGATGAATGTCCTCGCCACTAGACACCTATCAAGACTGGGCTGGAGCTGGGCTCTACGTGGTAGTCTTTTCCGACGCTTGAGCAGCAGCCGGGGTCGCAGCCGGCGCAGGACTATGCTCCTTATCTGCTGTCATTGGCTTGCGTCCTACCAAAAAGTACCTAAGATGACCCATTAGCACCAGCCCCTATGAACTCAAAAGATCGCGGATTGAAACTTACATGGGCACATAGGCATGATACGCCCTGTTCTTGAGATCCTTCCGCACATCGACCAGGAAAACCTCAACCTCATCGCGCGTCCATTCGTACGCCCGGGTCAAGGGCGCCATAGCCAGCCCATCCGCAGCCATCATTGCGTTCTCGTGACTGAACATACCAATCTCCTTGAAATGGGGATCCTTAGGCCACGTCCCGAGAGGCCACTTGTACTTGCTCAGTGTGACATCCTCAAAGCCCACATCGACCATGAGGTCCTTCAGTTCGCTGGCCACCACAAAGTTACGTCCGAACTTGGCACCCGCGCCTCTGAGAAGCTCACCGAACCGCACTAGTGCGGAATCGGCCGGCAATGTGTCGTCGTCGGACAGGAATGCCATTTCGGCTTCTTGGAGCTCGAGGTAACCGCCGGGTGTGATGTTGCTACAAACGTCTTAGTGAAGAGCTCTCCAATCGACGACATTGAGTTTGTGTCAGAGTGTTAGAAGTAGAAGGATCAAAGAACCAAAGGCTAAAAAGGCGGAAATATTACTTGTAGCAATTAGTTATGTACGCTTTCCAATCGGCGAGACTCGACGTCATGTGACGGCTGTGAATGTATTCGAATGGCTGGGTGTAAGTCCACTCGTCTTCGATGTCGTCGACCTCGAACTTGACGTTTGGGGCCACGCTGGATGTAAATGTAAGAATATTGATTTGTATATTTCAAGTAGTCGCGCCACTTGAGGTCGAATGCAAGAAGCACTTACAAGTCAGGTTGCGTAGGAGACAAGTCGACACCGAGAACCTGAACCCATTCAATTAAAGTTCATTCTTATGAGGCCATACTGCTGTCTTCTGAACTGACCTCAGTCTCAGGGTGGTCATCCGCGAACTGGATAGCCCAGATACCGGTGCCGGTGCCGATGTCAAGAGCTCTCTGGACCTTGTACTCTGGCTCACACGGTGGTGCGAGGCCGAGCTTGCCGCCCAGAGTCAGGAGAGCCAGGTGATGTTGCAGGTCTGCCAAAAGGTCAGGAAACTGAATGTTTGAGGGAACGCCAACCGTAGAAGCTGGAGAGAGCGGGCTAGTGGTATGTGAAGATAGCATCATAAAGCGTGCGTACCCAGTCTGTCATTCTCCTTTTCGTCGTTCGGAAAATGGTATTCTTGTTCAAGTCAGTGGCGGTACACATCGTCGTAGCAGCCTGCTAACAGCGGCGGCGGGAGACTCACTGCCCTCCTTGTACCGGTGATAAGTTCTGCCATTCTCGAAGTGGTAGTCGCGAAGAGACTCAGAAAGGCTGGTGCTCGAGGAAGCGATGCTCTATGCGCGTACGCCATGTATCAGTTCCAGGACGACATCAGATGCGCGACCTAGAACCCACCTGGACCTCAGCACCGTCATCGACCGGGTTCTGTGCGAAAAGTCAGCAACGATTGGGAAGAAAGACGCCATGGTTACATGATAGCCTTGGTGAAGACTCACGTTGTCCTCGGCTCCAATTGGGATTTCGTGGTCGACCTGAGCCATCGCTTGTTCCGTGGATGACGACTATGATGAGTACGCGATACTGCGACGACGGATCAGAATGAGATCGAATTCCGATGCAGGTTTGAAATGGCAAAGTTCAGAAAAGAGTCGTGATGTTGGAAAGAAAGTGGAAGACTCGCGGAGGGAGGTTGTGCGACAACAGGCCGGCGCAGAACAGACGACCCCTCCCTCCTTCCTGACCCAAGGAGAGGGGCGAGAGATCCAAGATCCCTATCCAGAAAAGCACCAGGACCAAACATGCATATGCAGTCCAACGGCGAGGTTGCCCCTTACGTTCTGATGTGGAGTCCGAGGAAACAACATGGCGAATGGGAGATCAACGTTGGTTGAACAAGACAGACGAGGCTGGGCGACATAGCTGCCAATTGCAGAATGTCCCTCGGCCTGCATGCCCGTCCCCGAACGAATGGTTCCCTGAAATCCTGACCCCGGGGAACTGGTTCAGATTGTCTGTCATGTTGTGATTCTTTTCCAATCTATCTCTCCATGCTATCCTTCCTCTCCGCATGCATAGTGGTTTTTTCTGCCGTAGATGCTTTCTCTTTATGATATTGTCGTAACTGTCGTGAAAATCGTCGCCTCCTCATCCTTGACCAACCATAGATCCATGCCAAACATCTCTTGTATAAATCCGATAGCAACATCCCATCAACCGGCCTGCTTTTCCCGTGGATGCACCAAAATCATACCTTCAACCCCATTCTGCCTCTTTTAAGCAGCAATCTGCGGAACTCCAACAACCATCCCCAGCCCGCCGGCGCCACCAACATCGACATCCATCCCCTCCCACGGCAGCTCAGGCACCCCAACCTCAGCCATGACTCTCGCCACAACGCTCTCAAAGGCATCCCGCTCGATGATGGCCCCGAAGTGGATGCAGTCCACCACGCCGCAGAACTCCCTCTTGAGCGCCTCGATGACCGGCTCCTGCATCAGCGCCTGCGCGCCGTACCGCGCCGCGAGCTCGAACCACGCCTGCACCGGCGTCAGCTCGATGTCGCCCGGGTTCAGCGTCTTGGCCAGCGACAGCAGGGACCGCAACGTCAGCGAGCTTCCGGCGCCCGAGGCATGCCATGTGTGCTGCGTCTCGACCTCACGCCGGCGGATGGAGCGGTACACGCGCTCCGGCGCGGAAGACATGCACAGCGTCGAGGCCATCATCGTGTGGCCGGACGCTGCCTTGGTTGCGTCGGCGTGGCGCGGGTACTGGCGCGGGTGGAAGTGGTCCCAGCAGATGTGTTCCATCCTGTTGGGTCGACGTTAGCATATGGCGGGTCTTCAGAGCTTTTGTAGGTCTGTTTAAGGGGGTACTGAGGGGACTTACGCAAGGATGAGGTTAATGGCGATAATCTCCTGCTCAGGAGACAGCTGATCCGGCGTAGCAGGCCGCACCGGTGTTGAGAGACTGCTAGTGGACGAGGAGCTGATCTGGAAGCACGGCGTGCCAAGAGTAGCGTCCTTGCTCATCGTGACGGTGATGTCGCCCATGTTGACGTCCCCGAACAAATCGGCAGGCGGATACGGGTCGTAATCCAACGGCTGCGCCATCGACACGTCCTCCGGCAACATCTGCTGCTCTTCCGCGCTGAACACCTGCGTATCCGTCTGCTCCTGCTGGAACTGTTGTTGCTGCGGCGGCGGCGCGGGGACGTGGGAGTGCTGCGGCTGGCACGGATGAACCTCCACCGGCTGCTGCATCACCTCCTCGTACGACGGCTCCTCCACCGGCGTCTCCTCCGCGGCGGCGATCCTGACCTCGCCGACGAGGACGTCCTTCTCCTTGCCCTTCAGCTCCTCGGGCACCCTCAGCCCCCGGGCCCTCAACGCGCTCTTCATGCCCTCGTTGTCCCGGCGGTAGGCGAGCACCTCCTTCTCTGCGGCGGCGATCATGTCCCGGAACTTGCACACGTCGAGCTCGAGCTGCTTGATGTAGTTTGCCTTGCGCGTGCGGTGCTGGATCTGCGCCTTGCGGACTTGCTGCCGTCGAAGTTTCGCCTTTTCTTTTGCGTGGTCCGCGGTGGCAGACTCAGCTGGTTTGCAAATGGCGAGGTTAGCTTGCTTGCTCGTTCTCTCTTTCTTCTAATGTCGTCGTCGTCGTCTTATATGATGATGATTCGACGAGAATATCAAGGGCTCCGAAATTATCAAGGAGGATTTAATGAAACGAAGCAACATCTCCAGAACGTAAAACAAAGGTAATGAGACATGGGGGTTCGCGGCTCGTGGTTCGATGGAATCTTTGGTGTAAGTGCCAAAGTGGGTGTGTGCCCACACATACACTCCGTTGCGTTGACAGCGTCCGCCCCCCCTTTTTGCCGAAATTACGCACGCATAATCCCTGTATATACATGAAAATTTGCCCAACGCCACGTAGATATTCGTAGTACGGCAATTGACCTATTCTGATGGCTTCAATTGATCTATTTCTATTGAATCTCATTATCTGAGGGCATCGTGATGCCTCCTAAACGCCGCCGCGCGGCTCGGCAGGCGGATGATGACCCTTCTGGGCATCGTCCGTCACCCATCGCCAACGGTACGCGGAAACAACGACGTATACAACAACTGGCACAGGACGCCGCCAGAGATCCTCCTCAACGCTCTGCCTCGCCGTCGATCAGGATCGTTACGCCCGCCGAGAGGGCTCGCCGGGCTGCCGCCGCCGAAGAGGCCGCCGAGGAGGCCGCCGAGGAGGTTATCGTCGCCGAGGCTGGACCCGAGACTAATGATTTGGTGGCGGCTGAGTCTACATCGCGAAGAAAGCGTGTACTTATAGCCCCTCCGTCATCACGAAGAGCTCCAAAAGCGTCCTCTCGCCAAAAAGCAACGACAACGCAGAGGAAGCGAAAGAAGGATCCGCCGCATACGATCCGGCTCCGAAGTACTCTGCCTTCGTCGATGCCACCGTTTCGACCAGACTCGACCCCAGTTAACCCAACCCCTCGTCAAACCACTCGATTTGCGGACGATACGCCTACGGCCCCTCGCCATAGCGCTGATGATACGTTTATGTCGTTCCACGATGTATTTGAAGAGGAGGACGATATGGGTAACGAGGAACCAACTCTGCTACAAATCCAGGTTACCCGTGGCCCAGCGCTCAAGGGTAACGGTTTACCTGTTCTCGATCTAACCATCGAGAGCATCGCGTATAACAGATTCAGTATTGCTCCTGTATTAGATGCGAATAGTAGAGACTGGGAGGCAGACAGCGGCGCCCAACTTGAGGCAGAAGTGGCTCACTCGTATATTGTGAAGAAGGCCAATATCGCTGTTGTCGTTGCTTGGAGGAAGCCCACCAACGCATCTAAACCAACACCAATCTTCACTCGGGTCTATCCGTCTACTGGAGGGGTCACTTGGCCAAGTATTCCATGGGTTGATATTGTCCCCTCTCTTGAACAAGCTGAAGAGAGGGGTGAAGTCCACCTCACCGTCAAGTGGCAATACAGCGCCGTACCAATCTCTGGTGGTATAGTGACTGGCGTACGAACGCCTCGAAAAGGTGGCCGAGCAGGCGTTTCAGCCGGCATGCAAGAGGCGATCGATCGTGAGGCTAACGATCCTGCAAACGTCGAGCGTCGGAAGGAGGGTATGCACAGACAACTTCTCCGTACGCACATCTGCCCAGAGTACCAGAGATGTAAGAATAGTTCGGGCGACGAGAAGTTCAACTGGTGCTATATACTAGGCCAGAAGCACTACAAGATCAAATCTCACCATATAGAGAAGTGGGCGAAGGCTATTATGACTGGACAGGCTGGCGTTGACAATATGGAACCACCTAAAGAACTGCTTGGTGAGATTCTTCACGACCAGTTTATAGAGGATCAGAAACGCCAGGGCAAGAGAAGTAAGAATATCGTGGAGGTTGATGATAACCAGGAGACGACAGTGATGACGGAAGAGAAGGCTGAAAATGCCGCACTTCCATCATCAGGGTCAAGATCTGGCCTAACCAACGCCAACAGCAACGCCATCGTCAATATATACGGCAACGCGGGGGCGCCAGATCGTCATCTTCAATATCCTAACCCATACGTACAGCTGCCGCCGCCGGCGCCGCCGCCGCCGGCATATTGGCCATATGCGAACATCTCACAGTATTCGTTGCCAACTCTTCCGCCATTGAACCTTCCAAGCACTCGTCAACCAAGTATCGCACTCCCGATTCGTTCGTCCTCGCCAGTGGTACCGGATTCGCCTCGAAAAGCTCTAGATCAAGTGGCCAGCTTCATCAAGTGGTTTATATCCGTCCGCGGCAAGCGATATAACGTCGACGAAGGGTTCAGAAAGAAGCTACAGAAACTGCGATCAGTAGACAGTAGCTTGCGGGCAATTCGCAAGTTACCAGATATTTGGTTTACTGAACAGGGTTTTACTCAAGATCTTACCGAAGATGTCAGGAACTCGATCAAATCCTTCATAGACAACAGCGCCTACTACGGAGGGCAGTCTGACGCCCTCTCCGACGTGGTATCTCACTCTGAACTTCATTCAAACCATCGAGAGTCAGAAGGAGATGTTTATACAAGAATATACGCTGGATTGCCAGGAGGGACGGCGGCGGCGCCAGTTGAAAACTCTGCGGCGCTAGTTTCAGGCGAGTTGGGGTCATCCCGACATATCGACGCCCTAGTGCCACGTCAATCCATCGAGCAAGAGATCCGTGGTACGCCAGTTGAAGTTGGTCGACGTGGTGAGTGTATATAGAGCTGTTTACTGTCGAATATGGCTAACTTTGTAGGCGTTTCGGAACTCTTTGGTTTCGTTTCGTCACCACTGCTGTCAGCGTCGCAGATGCTGCCCACGCAGTTACAGATCGAACAAGACGAAATCGAGCAAGGCGATGAGGACAATCAGATTGAAATCTCGAGTGATACGTCGTCAACAGAGACGTATTACTCGGAGGAGGATAACGAAGAAGAGTGATACAGCAAGAGTGGTGTGAAGTTTGACTGTATGCGCGATTTTTTTGC